CTGCTAGTTCTGGCGTGAGATGCGTGATGTGGGGGATCGAGTACCTGTCGGTGGTTGTCACGCGGTTGAGTGCCTAATAATCTCCACATGGACGCCAGTTGTTGAACGACTTTTGGGGAACCATTTGGAGAGGACCATGGACTGTAGGAAGGGCGTATGATGTCCGTGTTCAGCATGTGCAGAAACCCTGCGCGTGCGGTGCGTAACTTGTCTGGTGCTAGTCAGTGTGGACTTATGTGGACGGGAGGACCTCGGGTGATGAGCTGGTGCAACACCTCCATCGTGATAGGTGGCAGCTCGGTTCTGGGCGGACGAGGCTAGGAAACTCGATAAATGAAGATGAATAAGGCGAATCAGCGTCTAGAAAAGGGAGGTGTATATTTTGCTTTTCGCAATCAGCCGGGGAGCCGACGACTACTCTAGAAGTGATTGGATCTCTAATTTGTCCCTTTCGGTGATCTACGATTAGACAAGGGTGTTGCAAAACGCCTCGACCAAGTATAGCCTAAGGAACCCGAGCGACCACGAAAATTCAAGGTAAGACGCGTCTTAAACCTAGGTCTAAGTCTAGTAGCTACTGTTCATAGGTTTGGATAGGGATACCGTTGGCTGCTTGCAAAGTCAGTGCTGCTGGGTTGGCACCATCCTGTTTAGTGAATGGGATTATACTGACTTGCGCTCCGGTATCTACCATAAACCTAAGTTTGGACGAGTTATCGTACATCAAAAGAAGGCGACAAGGGGTGGGAGATCCGGTTGAGGTAGTCGCCGTGACCTGCCGGCCTGTTATTTTCCCTTCCGGTTTTTGAACGAATACGGCGGTTTGCACTTCCCAGCTTAATTGCCGAAGCGTCTTTGGTGATAGCACAGACTACTTCTAGATGGAGTACGTCGACGACCGTTACTTGACCGGGATCGGTTAGGGGTAGTACGGGTAGTCTGTAGGTTGTTGATTGTGGTCTGCGTAGTGATCATAGCTAAGCGAAGGTCTGACAACTTCTTATACAAAAGCTGCACTTCTGTCATGGGCTCGTTAGAGAGCTTGAAGGGAGCTGGATTAGGTAACGTGTGGTGGATCATGGGTGTTTCGGGGTTCCCTATATTGGCCTTGGTGGGATGAAAAATTTGAGCTTGTTCCATGGCTCGATCTGCAGGTTCAGTTAGTTGATCTAGACTGTGGACGTGGGCAAAAACGTTCATGATATTCCGCACGTACTTTGGGAGCCGCTGGAGCCAGATCTGGAATAGTACAGAGTCGTTTAGCGTGGTGTTGCCGACTAACACACGCATCTGTCGCTGTACCCGGGAGAGCTTGAGGTTTCCCAGTTGTATCCCTGACAGAAGAAGCTGGATGTTCTTCTCCTCAGGAATGGCCATTAGATGGAGCAGTACTTGTTTGAACACGTCGTATGGGTTGCGTGCGAGGATATTCATGAATATATCCCTGAAGTTGCTCAGTATGTCCCACGGTATCGTGGACAACGGTTAATGATAGCGTGACAGTTACCCGGTAATGAGAGCTTCATGCAATCGCAATTTCAGAAATGCGATGAACGCATCCGGGTCCTCTGGCATGAATTCCAGTGCCCTGATATAGGCCTAGAGTGCTTCGTTGTCCATTGAATACCTACGCTTGGGGCTAGNTCTAGCGAGAGCATTGTTCGATCGACCAAGTTTATGTCACGAATTTTGTCTACAAAAGTAAATAAATCTTTGACACAGTGTTTTGCCAAACTAACTGGAACGGGTTCTAACAATTTGGCCAAAGTTCGTGACATAAACTTGGTCGATCGAACAATGCTCTCGCTAGACGTCTGCTCGTTGTTCACAAACGTTCCCATCGGCACGAATTCCAGTGCCCTGATATAGGCCCAAAGTGCTTCGTTGTCCATTGAATACCTACGCTTGGGGCTAGCCATACTAATATGGTATGAGGTTGCGGAACCTATTATAAAAATATGACTAAATAGCGCCTAGGAGAAAAAATACGTTTGTGAAACGGAAATGACAAAATCCAATCAGAAATACCGTTAAACCACAATCTAGAAATAATTATACCTAAAATTATGAGTGAATGATACCGATGAGTAAAAATACATACAAATGAATTACTAGAAATGTGACCTAGAGAAAATAAAATTCTCCGAATAAAAATATTTTCAGTGTAAATAAAAAATACGAGGGATCACCAATGTGTAGACACTGGCTTAACGGTACCCGGAGATAATACGTCTTCATCGCAAACGAGCGTCCGTACGAAAGCAGATAGAGACAATTCACGAAACGGAGGACGGTTGTATTGTGATAGCCTGCAGAGCTAAAAGGAAGACGCGAGAGCGTGAGCAAGTGTGTGGAATGTGAAAGCAAACACGCGCTGAACAAAGAGGTGGCCTTGGTTTAGTAAAACCATGAGATGCAAAGGAGGAGGGGTACATGTAGAATGGGAGGTATTTGGTGTTGCCATACATACACGACACGAACTGATCCCACAATGAACATTGTGAGAACGAAACAGATCAAAATTCAAAGTAAAAATCTGACCAAGATCAAATAAGTATTTACCATTAAACACAACTTTGGAATAAGCGACATTTCTAGAAATTCACTAACAGATTTTAAACCGTGAGAAACCGTGAGACAAATACCAAGTCCAAGATTAGCTCACAAACTCGTGTGGGAAAGCATTGTTTGCTGAATATGTAACAAATTCAAATCTAACGTAATTCCGTCCGTGATCAATCAGATGGTTCAGAGCAAAGGCTGATTTTTGACAGAGCACAAAATCACTTGTCAAGTGCACCAAATGCATTGTTACAGTGGTGAACTACTCGCCATTTTACACACTGACATATTTCTAGTAGGATTTCCAGTATAAATGCCGAGCCACCTTCTGCAATCCGAACATTGGACCTGGGTGCACTTCTGGTCGAGAATGCAATTCGTTCTGCGCTGGTGTCTTCTTGTGCTTATGGCGAGCATTTCCATTGTAAACGCTCAAGTATCAAGTGAGTCCTTTACTCAAAATCGAATGCATTGATGGCAGACCACTTCTCATTAGAAAATGCATTACATGGAATGGTCGCGTCACCACCCAACTCATCAATCGGGCCATATCTGACCGCATTGTGTATGTCACCCGTAAATTACGGGCATAGTACCTTCCCAATTCAGCTATTCATGCCATGCCCATGTTTGCATCGGCTATCTCATAAATTGGGCTTTTATGTAAAGCCGTATTATCCATTGGCTGTGTATTGGCGTGTTAAAAAAAACCAAACTATTATAACGATACTGGAGATAGATAATTTATATTCCACCAAAGTTTCAGATAAATACCGTTCATGAATGATTCATCTGAATGCATAGACTATTCACGCAAACTCATGGATTATCGAAAGTTGTTTCGGTGGTTTACAAAGCACTTGAAAATATGCAACGTGCTTGACAGGTACAATCTTTCAAGCAGTCACTGTTTACTAGCGTTCTGAAATAGAATTTGAATTAGGAATCAGTCGGTGCAGAGTTGCGGCCTTCATTGTTGGATGCTCAGTAGTGCAATGCATTTCCTTTATTCGCTAATCGTTCGAGTAAGCCTGTTCAGGACGGGTCATGTGATCGATTCTGATCAGATATTGTACACGAATTGCCTCATAAGTGATTTGTTTGACCAAACACAAATAATATTTCAGCACTAGATTTTGTATCAGCCCCACATAATGATTTCCATATGCATGAAATTTGTCGCATAGCCCCAACACGCTTTGTAGCACCACACTGAATGCAATTGCATATAGTTCAAGTTGCATGAACAAATGAATACTGAGGATCTGCAAGCACACATGTGTGTATTAGTGCGAAGTTTAACGACCACATGCAGTTCACACAGACAAAAACCTACAGCCCTGCTCTTATTAATTATCTCTGTTTTTCCCTTCACACGTGAAATCGATAATCGCCCAGACTGTGATTCATGCAATTCGCGCTCGATTGGTGTGTATGATCACACAGAAACGTGTACTTCAATACCAAGCTACGATATAATCATAGATGACCGAATTAAACATACGACATAAATTTGTTCCCCATTCATATAAAGAAGAGTGCTTTCAACCGAGCTTTCGTGGACCTTGTCGGGGGACGTTTCGAGCGGACATTTCAATTTCTGTGATGACATGAGACGATTTTACGACTCAGTTGACCCCACCAAGTTCACTGTACTACATGGGATACCAGATTCCGATGCATCTGTTCGGCGGCGTTAACTCATCCCATTACAGTCAATTCCGCTAGTAAAATACTATCGCTCATAATTGATATATGACGACATTTTGGTAATCATTCAATAATACTGAAGACCATACGTGACTTGCGTGCAACTGGGCTAGAACATAACGGAAAATTTTGACTAAGTCTTTGGATTAAAACTGCTTAACACGTGCTACAGCTGTTTTTGAGGAAATAGGGCAATTTTATCGAGACAGACATTATTCGATATCTGAAAGCGAGCGTATCGTGAGGGCGTGTAGAAGTTTCTGAGTGAAATGACCAATACACCTGTAACCCTTGTGCGAACAAACTCCTGTGTTCCTGTGCTCCGCAACTGGTCAGTATGATCGGAATATGATTTCACTGTTTGAAATATCCACTAGAGAAGAGTATTACGAGATTGTAATTAATTGTGGTAATCACAATTTGGCTTCGATTCATCCAACTTATGCGATGAATATGGCATTTGGAGTTTCGTACTCAGTTGTCACTCGAATTCGATAATCGATCACACTGACGCTGTCTATCGATCCCTCACGCTCCTTCTCTCTCGCTCTCTCTCACTCTGTGATTCCCATTATAAGTGCACTTTCATTTGAAAAACCATCCAATCAATCATATTCACGATATTTATTTTTCTAAGTGGATCGCAGTTTGTCTGTGTTATCACTGCTGCATTCACCCAAAAGGATTCACAGGACATAAACGCTAAAAATAGGAATTATACCATTGTTCAACTGTTATCTTTCTGGTCCAATCCACTGTCATAAACAAGATGCGTTCCATATTTGTATGCTGTCTGAAACTCACTGTTTTGTTATCCCTACTGGATCATGCTGAAGGAAGAGATAAAAGTACGTTGCATAAGTGACTTGCTCAATAGGGTCGGTTTTGTGAAATAATTTGAAACTATTCGTATGCTCAATCACTTCTGCCACTCACTACTACAACTACTATGTGTGTTTTTGCCAGCGAAGGCACAATAGACGCTTCCTATGTAACTCCTCATCTGTTCCATCTTCGATCTCATTATCAATAATTAATTCAAACAATTGTTTCTCAACAGAACGATGCATGCTTCGACCTGATCATGGTCTTTGCAAAGCGTATTTGACACGATACGCGTACAATTGTGCAACAGATGAATGCGAAGAATTCATCTACGGTGGATGCGGGGGCAACCGAAACAATTTTCGAACCAGGGCAGAGTGTGAATACCGGTGTATGGGTCGCCATTCAGATGACGATGAACTTATCTATCTTTTCAATGAACTGGAGAGGTTGCGAGGACCGTCCGACTAATGCGGTCGATTCTGTACGGGATACTTTGTCCTTGAGACGTCCACCGGATGGAAACTTGTGTCCATCAACTTGCCAGATTTGCAAACATCTATTACTGCGTCTTTGCCCTACCTGTTCTGATATGTTCTAATATTTTCACGCATTGCTGTCGCGTCCACTAGCTGACTTTCACGGGCTCCATCCATCCAATTTGATTTTGCTAATGATAACACATATGTGTATATACGTATGCAGTATTGTTGTCTTCGGTCGAATCAAGTTTGATAGTCACTAAGATTATGGTAAATTGATGTACAGAAAACTAACGTTAAGGCCGGCACAAAGGCTGCTGTTATAGAAACGCGTTAATCGGTGTCCGGAGTGGTTGAAACGAGACTATACAGGCTGTCTTTTCCAATAAATGAGGTCAGAAGTTACCTGAATTAAGGAAAGAATCGAAACAATGGGCAAGCAGCAGAATTATAACTTCGAAAATGAGAGGGCTGTAGTTGGCAAACAAATGATTTCACTTACCTCATCGTAATTACTTTAGGATTTTGATTTGAGTAACAGATTGACGAGATATATCGTCAATTAAGATACTTTCCTAGCACTTGTAAATATGTTGTTCTTTCACCTGTGTTAGGCAGTTTAATTGTGTGCGTTTATGGTAGCTGCCCAGTGTAAATGATGGCAGTTACAACCAATTTATCAATCACGATTTCAGAATTATGGATAATTCATGGAAGATTCCCATATGCATATCAAAAGACAAACTATTTAGCAAACAAGCATGTTTCCGTAACTTCGGCTTTAGGCATTTATAGTTTATATATGTTTATATGTTATATGTTTATATATATTTTAGAAATAAATGTGCTTGGTTCATTGGGGTTAAATGTGAAAGTACAATCATGTCTGTCTATTTCAGTCGGAGCAAATGGAGGGGAAAAAGAGGGAGAAGGTGTACCAAGGTTCATTTTGGAAATTTCCGACGGCCTTTGTTCACGTGCGACGTGTCACGCCATGTTGCGTCATCATGACATGATTGAGGTCACAGTTCGGATCGTCAGGCAGGTTTTAGCGGAGCCATGGCAACTGGAATGCGGCAAATATTTTCTTCTATTTGAACAGTAGTTCGTTCAGGATTTTGATTGCTACTGCTTCTTCCCTTGCCAAGTCACGCTGCCGAACGTACTTCGACTTGTTTTGGGGCACTTTGTAGATAACTTTAAATTCATCGTTGTCTGTGTGGTGCCCGCGTATCGGCGAGGTGGGCCACAATTGCTCTGGTTATTGTTTTCTTACACCAAGCCGATTTATGTTCTCTGATTTTTGTGAAAACTGTCCCATCTTTCTTCTTATGAAACTTACCGAACATATGCAAGTGAAGGAATATATAACCGTAAATAAGGAGAGGATGGACAGCTTGTCCCTTGTTTTTCAGTTCAGTTTGAACAACCATTAATCATGCACTTTTGCCCACCGGTTTTGGTTACTGTCTTTTAGCTGTACTTTCGGATAGACAGTAGGAGAAAGACAGGAAGTTTGAAGATAGAATCGAAGAGAAAATCAGAATTTCAGTAGACTAACTTTGCGAATAAATTGAGAAGATGCACGAACGATACTGTTTACGACACTCAGCGATATCACTCAGTGTCTCTAACCATCGGTTTCGATCATCCCGAGGTCCCCATCCAGGGGGCCTAACAGAAGCTATGTGACCCAGACTCCTGGTTAGAGTTTTCATACCCCCATGCCCGGTTTTAGCTTAACCACCCTTTACCTTTTCCCAACCGCTACCTGCCTTGGCAAACATCGCTTGCCGTGGCAATCTATTTGGTGACATGCGTAACGCATGCCCCA